CTATTTAGAACTATTTATTTATGAATTTCCGTATTATTTTACTACCGTCATAGATTCAGCCTAACTACGGTTTAAACAACAAGCTTGCTCCAGATGAACTACGTCCAAAATGACGCGAATATTTTGACATTGTTTTCCTACTGCTTTTATGAATATACGCACATATGAATAAATAACATATGTAGACAATACAAGTATAGATTCGTGTCTATTTAGTCGACAGCGAAAAATTTTACCTTCAGGTTTACTGAATCATAATGAGAATTTAAAATTTGAAACAATGATATTCTGAATTTCTTAGATATTGACCATCAAACTGAAGTAAGGAATGATCTATGATCTTTAAACCCGTTTATTTTGGTTTATGCTTTGTGCTGATCATATCACAGTTATCGAATGGATTATGGCGCATTGTAACCATAAGAAATGCGCCAATGAGACAGGCAGTGTAGCCATACCCTTGATCCCTTCTGATATGACCCCACCTGAACATCGAGCAGAACATTTACCAGTTTCTGACTGACTGCACTGAAACAATGTATATCTTTTTGAGGGAGAGGGCTTATGCTCAAGTGAATTAGCAGTTAAGAGAATTTTTCTAAATGGTAAGCATTCGAGCTCAGGGCCTATGGAGTTAGAAATCACCCTCTCACCATTGTGTCACCGCCCCAGAACGCAACAGGCATAATATGTCTGAGTCAACCTTGAAAATCATCGACAGCCAAGTGCAACGATGTGTCTCATCCTACAGTAGTGCAATTGTAAAGGTGTACTTTTACCGTAAGAGTGACTTTCCGCTGTATAGTTATGACGTTACTCGTATCCTCTTTCGCATTATTCCCTCAACAGCCATTTTTGCTGAATTTTGTTGTTACATGGATTGTGGCTTTTAATTATTCATTTGGGGTTTTTCTTCAAATTATTTTTTGCAGAGCCTGGATTGTCTTAAATGGCATAAAGACTTATGTTAACCGTGGTTAATGGAGCCGTCTCATTGGCTGATTGTCTCGACATTCCGAAGACCCTTCACGGCTACCGTAAAAAGATTGAACAAAAGGGTTGCGGAACTTCTAGCAGCTTTGAGTGATTGAAGATGGAAGCATTCTGGCATCATCATTCATTCCGCATTTTACTTGGAACATTGTTTTAGTCTGATGAACTCCATTTCCGCTGGTAAGGAGAAAACGGGCACTGGGCAATTAATTAAGGAATCTTTATAAATTTACCTAC